GAAGAGGCAGGAAGAGGAGGAGGAGGCCAGGCTGGCACGGCACTAGGGGGAAGGGAACAGGCCCTCAGCCCTTCCTCAGGCTCACTCCCCCACAAAGCCCCTCTGCTTTCCCATTCACTCTGCCTGAGTGAATCGGTTCTCCGCTACATGCACGTTCGTTCATTATACCATTGTTTACGAGAGTGATGGAATGGAAGCAACCTCAGTGTCCATCAATAGGGGACCGGCTAACCTGGTTATGGGTGTGATTACTGTACCCCCATGCAGTGTCTTCTACACAGTGTGTTCAAAAACGGAAGCAAGGACGCTCTTTATGTTCCGATATGAGACCATCTCCAAGATGTATTAGGTGAAAATCACCGAGGGGCAGAACGGAGTGTATGGAATACTGTCATTTGTCAAATAAACTTGCCATAAAGATAAACATGACTAATATGGGTATACAGTGAATACCAAGATTTAACCAGCAGGATGGATCAAAGGACAAAATGAAGGAAAAATGGATGCTGGAATAATATTGCAAAATTAGATTCAAAAACCTTAATTCCAGCCGGGCTCGGTGGCTCAGCCTGTAATCCCACGCCTTTGGGAGGCTGAGGTGAGTGGATTGCCTGAGCCCACAGGTTCGAGACCCGCCTGGGCAGGCAAGACCTCATCTCTACAATAAATCAAAAAGAAATTAGCCGGGAGTGGTAGCACGTGCCTGTAATTCCGGCTACTCAGAAGGCTGAGACAGAAGGATCGCCGGAGCCCAGCAGGTCGAGGCTGTGGTGGCCGGGAACATGTCGCTGCACTTATATATATATATATGAAAGAGTTCTGTAAACTACAAAGTTATATATTAAGGAAGGGCCCTGGGGAGCAAAGTTTGCTTGAGCCCACTTTAGGGCCTCCAGAATGGAGCTAGAGTTCAATCCTCCCCACCCACTGCTGAAATCACCACACAGGAAGCCAACCTTGGCACTGGGCATCACAGAGGGAAGAAAAACAGCATCTACAGTCTTGGAAGAGCATGGTGCTACAGGCTTTGGCCTGGAGTTGGCCTGTGACTTTGGGTAAGTTACTTAACCTTTCTGAGCCTCACAGGTCTCTTGTGTAGGATGAACATAAGAATAACACGTTCGCCGGGCTCGGTGGCTCAGCCTATAATCCCGTGCCTTTGGGAGGCTGAGGTGAGTGGATTGCCTGAGCCCGTGGGTTTGAGACCCACCTGGGCAGCGAGACCTTATCTCTACAATAAATCAAAAAATCAGCCGGGTGTGGTAGCACATGCCTGTAATTCCAGCTACTTGAAAGGCTGAGGTGGAAGGATCGCCGGAGCCCAGCAGGTCGAGGCTGCGGTGGCCGGAAGCGGCCACTGCACTCCGGTCTGGGCAACAGAGTGAGACTCCAAGTCAAAAAAAAAAAAAAAAATAACACATTCAGCTGGGCTCAGTGGCTAAGCTTTGGGAGGCCAAGGTGAGTGGATTGAGCCCGCAGGTTCGAGACCCGCCTGGGCAACTTGGCGAGACCTCATCTCTACAATAAATAATAAATTAGCCAGCTGGGCTTGATGGCTCAGCCTGTAATCCCACGCCTTTGGGAGGCTGAGGTGAGTGGATTGCCTGAGCCCACGGGTTCAAGACCCGCCTGGGAAATTCGGTGAGACCTCATCTCTACAATAAATCAAAAATTAGCCAGCTGGGCTCGGTGGCTCAGCCTGTAATCCCGCGCCTTTGGGAGGCTGAGGTGAGTGGATTGCCAGAGCCCGTGGGTTCGAGACCCGCCTGGGCAGCGAGACCTCATCTCTACAATAAATCAAAAAATCAGCCAGGCGTGGTAGCGCGTGCCTGTAATTCCGGCTACTCAGAAGGCTGAGGCAGAAGGATCGCCGGAGCCCAGCAGGCGAGGCTGCGGTGGCCGGGAGCGGCCACTGCACTCCAGTCTGGGCGACAGAGTGAAACTCCAACTCAAAAAAAAAAAGAAAAAAAAAAAATTAGCCAGGCATGGTAGTGTGTGCCTGTAGTTCCAGCTACTTGGAAGGCTGAGGCGGAAGGATCCCCAGAGCCCAGCAGGTCGAGGCTGCAGTGGCCAGGAGCGGCCACTGCACTCCAGTCTGAGTGACAGAGTGAGACTCCAACTCAAAAAAATAAAAAATAAAAAATAAAAATAAATTAGCCAGGCGTGGTAGCACGCATCTGTAGTTCTGGCTACTTGGAAAGCTGAGGCGGAAGGATCGCTGGAGCAGGTCAAGGGTGCGGTGGCCGGGAGCGTGCCACTGCATTCCAGTCGGGACAACTCAAAAAAAAAAAAAAAAAAAGAATAACACATTCACCGGAGGGCTGTTGTGGGAAGTGAATGAGAGAACGCAGCCTTTGGCACTGTACTTGGCCTTATTAATGTCATTTTCTTCTTTGATCTACATAACCTTCTGCTTTTACAGTTAAGGAAACTGAGGCTAGGAAGGTAAAGCAACTTGTCCTATGTCACCAGCTGTAAATGGCCATCCCCGCCCCAGGCCCACTCCCTGTCACCACAGGGACCACATCTGTATCCCCTTGTGCTTGGAGCTCAAGTCTGTGAGACTCCAACGCCCGCGTGCATTCCACTGCAGCACGTGGTCTCTGCCCACAGCTGGGGCCCCTCTGATTCTTTAAGCCTCTCTCCCATCTGATCTGCCGGGGGTGGGGGGATCAGCTGCCAGAGAACTAGCCCTCTGTGGTTCTCACCGCCCCCCTGTCCTGAGGGGGGTCTGGTGGAACGGACAGTGAAGCCTGCACCCCTAGGTGGCCCATGCTTTCCACCAGAGGGAGCCTTTCCACCTCGGGGAAGACCCACCCCTCCCGTCCCTGGCCATCTTGGGAGGCCTGAGAGTCCCAGGACTTCCCTCCAGCAATTCCCCTGCCCAGCCCAGCCATTTTTCTGTAATCCTCTAATAACTCTTTCAGGCTGATCAGAGGGAGAGAAACCTCCAGGCCTAGAGTCGCCCTGCCTGGGCCTCCCAGCGTCAACCTCTGCTCTAACATCCTGTCTCCCCACTCTCTTTCCAGCTGCTGAGGCTTCCAAACTCTGCCCCTGTCAGTGGAAGCTGAGAAACCCATGACAAGGCCCCTGGCTGTAAAGAGCTCAGACCACCCTGCTGCAGTGTATGGAGCGTGGCAGACCTGGGTTTCCATCCTGGCTCTGCCTCTCCCAGCCTCTGTCACTTCTTGCGTTACAGCAAGTGAGGATAACGTTCAATTGCTGCTTCCCAGTGAGCCCAACAGCAAGGGCTATGTGAGGCCTTGAGCACTGCTGGGAACACGGTCAGCACATAGTGGGTAAACTGAGTCTGTTATTGTACCCAGGCAGCAGCAGATGAGGAAACAGCCAGGGGTGCAGCTGGTAGATGTGTCCTTGGGGCCCCATGGCCTCCCCTGTGGTTCTAGGACACTATTCTGGTGGACCCTAAAATGAAAACACACATCTCTGCATTCCCCGCCCCAGGCCCACTCCCTGTCACCACAACGCTGAGGGCTGGCCAAGCTGTTGCCTGTGTGTGCACATGTCCACACCCCACCCTGGCAGACCTGGGACTTCAGGGTTGGCTGTCCTGACACACTGGGATGTCAGCCAGGCTTGTGGGGACTCCCGAGGACCCCACTCACTCGTTTGTCGGCAGGGACCACGTCTGTATCCCCAGCCCCTGGCTCAGTTCCTGGCCCAGACAAGACTCGATACATGTGTCTAGAAAAGAATAGAGTCCAGGCTCGGTTCTCGCTAAGGTCTGGGACACTCAGCAGGGACTTTCTCATCTTCCCCCTCCTTTCAGGGGCTGTCTTATCCTGAGATTGGCCATGTCCTTGGTTATTCCAGAACCTGCCCTAGGATACCCCCACTGGGTCAGGAGAAGGCAGGGAGGACAGAGGACAGGTGGGGGGCTCATTGGCCTGTATCTGCTTTTCCCCATATTGGGGAACCTGGTCAGGATACCCCCTCTCCAGCTTTCCAGATGGCTGGAAACATGCATGCCCCTTCCACCACACCAACCACCAGGCTGGCCTCATCTTCCCCTCCACCGTGGCTCCCTCACCACCCGGTCCATTCCTCATCCTGGCCTGTCAGGACCTTCCACCTATCAGGTCTCAGCAGGCTGCGAGGAGAAACCTCTCTGGCCAGGGTTCAGACAGAAGATAGGCCCGCTCTCCTCTGTCTTCTCCCTAAGGGAACCATGGTTTTTCATCATGAAGGAAAACACCAGATCTTGAGGACAAGGCTTGGGCTTTCCTCAGCACCCTGGTCTCTGCCAACTCATACTCCAGATGGTTAGACAGACACAAGCAATGTCACAGGCAGACACACCATCAGTCAGGGGCACTCAGGGACCCGCAGACTCACAGGCACAGACGTACATGCAGGCTCATTGGCCCACAAACTCCTCACTGCACTCGGGGTGACTCATGCACTCTCAGTCACACAGGTACACAAACACATAGAGTCACTGGCCCAGAAAAAATAAAGACTGCATCTCCCACTCCCTAGGGGTCCTGGCCTGTGCCCTGCTCTGTCCTCTCGGCCCCCGGCACTTTGTCTCCGTTGTCCTGGTCCTCCAACTCCGTACATTGCCCGTGTGACTGTGGTCGGAGTGTCAGAGTCCTTCTAACCATCTGAGCAGGAGTGGGGGTGCCGGGAGGCCCAAGCCCTGCCTCAAGTCCTCCCATCAGATCTGGGTGTCCTCCTTGTCTGTGAAGAGCCATGGTCCGTCCCTCTGAGGGAAATGAAGGCAGAGAGCAGGTCTAAGCCTAAATCCTTCATGTCTATTTACTTCAGATCCCGTGGACATCCACTGAGCCCTACTTCCCACATCTGTGCAAATGCTCTGCCTCGGGGGGACAATGGGCAGAGTCCCGTGGATTCGGGCGTCCTGGAGACAAGTGGTCCCAGGCCCTCTGGTCCTGGGAAGGCAGAGCCTGGCACGGATGCTGGAGGGACGGGAAAGGGGCAGGATTTGTGGCATTTCCCCTCCAGCTGGAAACAAAGGCAGATTCCTGTGTCGGGCGAGAGCAATCCGGTCCCACCCACCCGAGCTGCTGAAGCTGAAGGAAATCCCCTCCCGGCCATGCAGCCCCTTCTTCCAAACACTCCCTCCCAGCCAGGGCCATTACTTACTCTCAGATCCTGGGGACCCTTTCATGTCCAAATACCCAATCCTTTCCACTGGGGAAGGCCACCTCAGCCCCCCGCACCCCCTCCTCAGGCAGCAAGGGTCCCCTTAGTATAGCCTAAGAGCCTGCCAAGCACCCATCCCCTTACCAACCATCTCTGCCCTCTCTCACCCAAGCGAGCTCAGGTCTTGCTTTTCATTAGAGTGGGAAAAACTTTTTTGTTTGTTTGTTTTTCTTTTTGTTTTTGGAAGCAGGGTCTTGCTCTGTTGTCCAGGCTGGAGTTCAGTGGTGCTGTCATAGCCCCCTGTGGCCTTGAACTCCTGGGCTTAAGCCATCCTCCCACCTCAGCCTCCCAAGTAGCTGTGACTACAGGCACACCACTGCACCTGGCTAATTATTTAATTTTTTGTATCAATGGGGTCTTGTTATGTTGCCCAGGTTGGTCTTGAACTCCTGGCCTCAAGTGATGATCCTCCCACCTTGGCTTCCCAAAACGCTGAGATTACAGACATGAGGCCCTGTGCCCAGCTGTGGGAAAAAGTTTTGATGCCTCTGGGAACGGCTGTGGCATCCAAAACGCCCGGCAAGGTCCTCAGGAGTTTCAACTGAATAACCCAGGTAACAAGATTATTTACCTCGGTTAATTGACATGTCTTCCCTCATTGCAAGTCCACGGAAAGTGGGATGCCATTATTTCTTTTCTTTTCTTTTTGAGTTGGAGTCTCACTCTGTCGTCCAAACTGGAGTACAGTGGCATGCTTCTGGCCATCGCTGCCTCAACCTGCTGGGCTCCGGCGAGCCTTCTGCCTCAGCCTTCCAAGTAGCCAGAACTACAACTACAGGCACATACTACCACACTCGGCTAATTTTTTTTTTTAGAGACGAGGTCTCGTCAACTTGCCCAGGCGGGTCTCGAACTCGCAGGCTCAGGCAATTCACTCACTTCAGCCTCCCAAAGTGCTGGGATTACAGGCTGAATCACCAAGCCTGGCCTTTTTTTTTTTGAATTGGAGTGTCACTCGGTCACCCAGCCTAGAGTGCAGTGGCAAGCTCACAGCCACCGCAGCCTCCTCCTGCTGGGCTCAGGCAATCCATTCATCTCAGCCTTCCAAGTAGCTGGAACTACAGATGCACGCCACCATGCCCAGCTAATTTGTTTGTTTGTTTGTTTTTGGTTTTGTTTGTTTTTTTGAGTTGGAGTCTCACTCTGTCGTCCAGACTGGAGTGCCGTGGCCGCTCCTGGCCACCGCAGCCTCGACCCACTGGGCTCCGGCGATCCTTCCGCCTCAGCCTTCCAAGTAGCTGGAACTACAAGGCATGCACCACCACACCCGGCTAATTTTTTTATTTATTGTAGAGATGAGGTCTCACCAAGTTGCCCAGGCGGGTCTCGAACCCGGGGGTTCAGACAGTCCACTCACCTCAGCCTCCCAAAGGTGCAGGATTACAGGCTGAGCCACCGAGCCCGGCTTGGTTTTTTTTTTCCAGCTTAATTTTTTTGATTTACTGTAGAGACGAGGTCTCACCAAGTTGCCCAGGCTGGTTTTGAACCCCTGGGCTCAGGCAATTCTCTCACCTTGATCTACCAAAGTGCTGGGATTACAGGTATGAGCCACTGCATCCGGCACCATTATTTTTTACCAATTAGTAAAGAGTTAAGAGATACCATCTAAGCCGGACTCGGTGGCTCAGCCTGTAATCCCGCGCCTTTGGGAGACTGAGGTGAGTGG